TCATTAATGCAATCAAGCTTTCTTTCATTCTGAATTCTCATTTCTGTTCTCTCAATTGCTCTTGATATTGGTTTTCCCGTACGGCACTGACAATCTCGTCTAGCGTACGGAGGGGACCTCAGTTGGCGGACAACAACTGCACTGACATCAGTTGCCTAGCCTTACGTCGCCCTTCCAAGGAATCTCAGGAAGGCGCCGCGTAACACTTATTATGTAAAATATCCTTCATCTATGGTTCAAAATTCCAAAATTTTCTTTAATTTTTAAAATTATCCTTTCTTTTATCATTTTCAACTGCATTAAAACGTCTTCAATAGCAATAGTATGCTCTTACTTCACCTTGCCCTTAATAACTCATCAATTTTGGTGCTTCTTGATCCCCAATTAAAAAAAAAAATGTATTAAAAAGTTGAAGGAAAATTTAAAAAGGTTCATCTACCGTGAATTGTCTATTCACTTAAGGCCCCGTTTGTCCATAATTTTTTTTTCCTTTTTTTAAAATTTCTTTTTCAAAAACGTCTTTCTCCATTAAATTTTGTAAGTTTTTGAAAAAAAATCGAAAATGAGTTTTTCAAAACAAAAAAAAAAAAACCCACGTTTTCAAAATTTTCAAAAAACCTTTTTCCTCAATCACAAAACTACAACATTTATTCAAGAGAAATACATGTTCAAACATATTTTTAAATTTCAAATATCATTTTTCAACTTAACTCCAAATACTATTTTTTTTTCCAAAAATTATGTAATTTTTATGTCCAAAAACTTACTTACAGCTTGTTTGGATTGCTGTTACTCGTCGTTTCATAATGTGTCGTATTGTATTGCATTGTGCAATATTGTTTGGTGAGTACAACAATTGGATAGACTGTATCGTTTGCCGTCGTTTCATAATGCCACACACCAACAATATGAAGAATAAACGTGCAGTATTACTAAAAAATATATGATATAGAGTAAAATTATTATGTAAAAAAGTAGGATAAAAGATAAAATATACTCCATTCTTTAATAATAAGGAAGGGCAAGACAAGAGAAAAAAACTAAGGTAACTACGCCACCACATCAAATTGGACGCTATATAAAGTGACATTTTTTCGTCTTTACGTAACGACAGATTTAATGATACAATACAATAAAATTTAGGTAACAATCAAAACAAAATATTGTATTTAAAGTAACAATACAATACAATAGGTAATGACAATCCAAACAAGCGGTTAGTAGGTGATTAAAGAGAGAGCTCTCTATAACAATATCCCTATATAACAATACTTCACTATAAAAATCAAGTTTTATCGAAACCAGTTTTTATAATATATGTTCTCTATAATAGCACTTCGCTATAATATCCAAAAATCTAAATATATTTGGAACAAACTGGCGGTTATAGAGAGGTATTTCCTGGTCACCACAGCGAACAATCTATGGCTGATGCTTTCCTGGTCACCACAGCGAACAATCAGCATGTTAGATTTATGCAGATGTGTGAAGTCTCAGGGCATTTCCTTGTATGTGTAATTGTGTCTTAGCTTTTGATTTTATCTGTTGATATTGAGACTGATGACTTTATTCTTTTTCCTTGTTTTCATGTGATTCAACTCTTCAGCACTTCCAATATCATCTCTCTTTCCATTTCTTTATTTCATGGTAAGATTAATCTACTCTTTTTTCTGTTCTTTTATTTCAAGTTTTACGAAATACACATGCTTTTAGTGAAATTTAGATATTTTTATTTGATTTGCAGAATTGGAGTTAGTCTACTCAATCCTTATAATAAATTAAATGTTAAGATAATTGCTAATCTTAGTGACTGGCCTTAACAAGGTGTTTGTGTAAGATTGTCATTGTAGAGATTTGGCCGAAATTTGGCTTTCTATCCTCAAATTGAAGATTGTAGATTCTGCTAGCTACGTGCTATTGGTCTCCTTTGTTCTTTTTTTGATTGCATATAACTTTTGTTTGTATAGTTATATTTTTTTAGCTACTGTTATTTCCAGTCAGCAGTAAAAATCTGATAGTAAGCTTGAAGTCTTAGCTTATTTGATAGTATCACATTTACCATGCATGCAATTGTGCATGACACCCTTCTTGTCAAGATAATGTTTATGCTATAGTGGCAACCATTGACTTACTGATTTTGGCTCATGTTACAGATAAGAGACTTTCACATTGCAAAGAGAGAGGAAGATATTGGTTCCTATGCAGGTTATGTAGGTAAGCTTATTTCATGCCGTGATTTGTATCTTGATATATGATCAAATAGAGTCTCTGTCAGAAAATGCATAGAGTCTCTGTCAGAAAATGCTTATAAATTTCCTGAAATACTTAAGGTTCTGCATATATGCTTGGAAGAGCTTTAACATCTGTCTTTTGGGGAATCGTGGCTGATCGATATGGACGAAAACCAGTAATAATTATCGGCACTTTTACAGTGTATGTCTAATCTTTTGTAGAAATGTTTTCTTTTTATGTTTCATTCATTTGAAAGTATACAAGTTTATACTTTTTGCTTTGGTTTGGCTTCAGGGTTGTTTTCAATACTCTCTTTGGTCTTAGCATCAACTTTTGGATGGCAGTCATAACAAGATTTCTTCTTGGAAGTTTAAATGGTTTGCTTGGACCAATAAAGGTATCTATCAGTTTAATACCATTATACGAATCAGTACTGCATCCTCAGCTTGTATGTTAAGATACTTACCTTCCATGTTTAGGCATATGCTGCTGAAATTTTTCGTGAAGAATACCAAGCACTGGGAATGTCAACGGTAATATGTCCTTACTTCTCAGTTCTCAGTGATGCAAATGATTTCTACATATGACAGGATTGTACGTAATGCAAGAGGGACAGCAAAATGGCAAGAATGCATTTCCGAATGACCACTTAGACCGTGGCTTTTATAGAATTTTATTTTATTTTTTCTTATATGTTTGAATCTTTCAGATTAGTACTGCATGGGGCATTGGGTTGATTATTGGTCCAGCTTTAGGAGGCTTCCTTGCCCAGGTATTTATTTTCTTACTTAGCTATTTCCTTTTTGTATTCCTTCCTTCTGCTAGGGGAAGAGAGTTAGTCATTTTATGATAAATTGTAAGATGCATTTGCTAATCCAGCATTGCCAAAAAACAGAATTTTAAGTGGTATTCTTTTCATATGTAGAAGAAAATTTCTTAGGCTTGAATTCTTCATGTTTCTATTTTTAAGTATTCTCTGCAAATCTTAGCAAGAGAATCTCCTTTAGCTTTAGACAACATACATGCCTGTTCTCTAAGTGTTTGTATATTGTCTAGCCTGCAGAGAAATATCCAGCCATATTCTCAAAGGATTCTTTATTTGGAAGGTATTTCGCCCTCTTTCTTTTCATGATTGTGTATCTTCTTCTGTTGCTTGAAGTGCTCCTTGGCTCCAACATTTGATATTTTTCTGCAGATTTCCCTACTTCTTGCCTTGCCTCTGCATATCACTGTTTTCCTTGGTCGTGGCTATTGGTTCATTTTGGCTGCCGGTAAATCTATATGATTATGTTAATTCCTTTTGGGTCTTGTCAAGGCACACACTGTTTCTGTCAAATCTTGTATCCTTCCGGTTTACATGAAAGAGTCAGAATTTCACCTCCGGGGCATAATTGAACTTTGCATAAATTTTTAATGGATAATGATTACGTATAGTTTCAGATATTCATTTACTTTATTGTTGAGAGTGAGATTTGTCTAGCCATCTTTTTCCTTTTGATCCTTCCCAGTTGTTTTTCAGCTTTGGTGCATTTGGTGATGCAGGATGGGGTAGGGGTAGTTCTAGTTGCACTTCAAACTGAATCCTAGAAATTGAGGTTTGTTCTTATTTTTTCATTGTTAGAGTTGGGAGCCTATAACATATTGAAGGAGAGGAAAACTAAGCCTCAATTTGGTAAGTGGAGGATTGAGTGGAAAGTTTGTTGCCCTTACATTTTTGGGACCGTATTGAGTAGGATAAGGAGTTGCTATAAGAGTGCAGTTCTGGTGTTTCGGGGATGAATGAACTCTTAATTATTAAGGATTCAATTCTTCATCTTACCTGGTTTCACGGACCACATCAGTCCGCGTGTCTTTCTCTCTTTTCTTTTTGATATTACTTTGTCAGTTTGTCAGGTGTCTTCTCCGATTTCCCAGTGTTAGCTGAACTCGAAAATTTTAGAATTTTCATCCCTACAGCTTATGGATTGCAGGAAACACTACACATTCATGATTCAGAAATGTCACCTCAAGATTCTTATAAGGCTCTGGAAGCTGCATCAGATACAAAAGAAGGAAATGAATCAATCCCAAAAGAAAACCTTTTCAAGAACTGGGCATTGATGTCATCGATCATACTATACTGCATCTTCGCTCTTCACGATATGGCTTACTCAGAGGTATTCCATATCCACTAATAAACATAGGATATAATCACCGCATCATGATTATGAACGCATCTCTCTTTTATCAAAAAGAAAAAGATATGCATCTATATAGTTTGACATCTAGTTGATACACGGTGTAATTGCAATGACATTGTTGAAACAACTTTCTTTCATCCTTAGGAATATCTCAGATCCTCATTGGTTCATGTTTTATGTTGATATCTGCTCAATTGTTTTCTACTGCATGGTAACTATGAAAATGAATGTGTCGTCTCTACAACAACGAGATTGTCTCTTTTAGAGTTCTGCAGCTCAACCTTCTGCATACAAATCCTAGGCTCATTGGCTATTGGAAGCTGAATATACATGTTACTCATTGCTTGTTCTGAGGGTATCTGAGTAACAACAATGGATACTGTTCCATTTACCAATAGTGGACCGGTACAATGTTTTCAGCCCCTGCCTTCGTTGTAAACTTTTGTAGCTTAATTCTTTCTTTGAAAACTTAAGTGCTAAATTCTCGCTTCAATCTTTATTTGTTTAAGGTTTCAAATTCCTAAATCCTGGTGCTGTCTGGTCATTGTTCCGTTTGTTAATCTTAATTCGTATGTTATTAGCAACTTTTGGGGTATATGAAGAAAGAAGAACGACAAATTGATCATATCAAGAGGACTTAAGACTTCAAAAAACCTCCACTTTTTGCTTTACCTTTTGGCTATTATTAGTTATAAAGTGTTGTAATGTAAAACACAAATGCATTCTATTTAATTACTTAGTAGGTTTTTGGCATTCTCAATTAATACGTATGATGCATTGAGTAATTGATCTAATTTGCAGATGTTCCTATGAGGAAATGTGTAGTTCTTTCAATTCTCAGGCCCAAGGGTTATTGCATAACAATTCATTGCATCATTCCGAACCTATTTGCTTCTGCAGATTTTCTCATTATGGGCTGTGAGCCCCAGAAAGTTTGGCGGCTTAAATTATTCAACTGCTGATGTTGGTGAAGTACTATCGTTCTCAGGTGCAAGCCAATTCTCTCATAATTTCTACTCTTTTTATGGATAGATGAATCTTATTTGACATTTCTTTTTCGAATTAATGACATTTCTTATGGATAGATGAATCTTATTTGCCAATTCGCTCTTCTTCTTCTATTCTCCATCTCTAAATGAGATTTGGAAGAAGCGCCTTGTTGTAATGCAATGCATCACACAATCAAATTAACACCTTATGAAATTAGGAATCTTGATCTTTGAAAAAATAGTTTGATACAATCCTTTCAAATAATTACTGTTAGACCTATTAATGCCAACTAAATAAATAGTAAAGGAAGGAGTTAAAGGAAGCACAGAATTGGTGAAAAAGAAAAAGGGAGTGCAGTATTTGATGTATAAACCCATACGTAATGAATTTACTGTAAAACTTAATAAAGAAACATGAATATTCTCTGTGGTTTAGGCACACCGTAGGCTGGTGCTGTCAATGGTTATTGCCTTAAAGTCTGAGCCCCACATTCTCCTCTACAGATGTTGTAACAACTAATTATTCTTTTATGCTTGTCATATCTAATCAAGAGTTTGAGAAAGAAACTTGTGTGATTTATTGCACCAAAGTAACTCCTGATCCATCAAATATGTCTAAAGTACATAAAATGTTATTCAGAAGCATTCTTGTTCCAACTTTTACGTTTTTGACGACTACTTTATTACTTTATCGAATCCTATGATAGTAATAGAGTAACTCGTTAGTTACTCTCTCTCTGCTTATGCCTCCAGTTGGAAGACTTGTCGATATCAAGGTCTTCTAACTTAAACTGAGACTTACTCTATGTTGGCCGTGATTGCGGAACACGTGATCATTCTTCATAATCATCAGTTACTTATGCCAATATCTTTGTAGAATGGTCTTTATTTGGAATTTGGGTTGTCTGTTCAGGTTTCATTCTTGAAAACATGGTAGAGCACATCTCTATAGCGAGAATATTACCATTCTCGAGAAATTCAAGCATAACTAGGGATTTTAGATTGATAGTCTATAGAAGAATTATCTTACCGAATCCTGTGCTGACTTGTTTGACATACAGAGTACATCATTTCATATTATTGTACGATGTTGGATACTCAATTTCAGGGTTTGGCCTTCTAGTCTTTCAACTTTTTCTGTATCCGTTGGTTGCCAAGTATTTTGGCCCTATCGTCACTGCTCGACTTGCAGGAGTAAGCACTTGATTTCTACAATATGTTAAAACTCTTGAATTCTATGACCATGTTTCCTGAAAGGCTTGTAATATGATCAGGTTTTATCAATTCCGTTACTGGCGAGTTACCCATATATCGCTATGCTGTCTGGGATCACCCTCTCTGTGGTGATTAATTTTGCATCCATGATGAAGAATGCGTTGTCTGTAAGTGCTGTTCTGGTGTCTATAATTTATCGTACCACTTATTCTATAGTTGATTTGCATAAAAAGTGCAACACCACAATCAAGATTATGCATGAAATATGGAAATGAATGTGAGGTTCTTACTCTTTTAGTGCATATAGCATAGGAAATTTACTTAACCACTTGGTAGTCAACGTCTTAAGAGAATGCTTTTGGAGGACTTCTGTTTCTCGTCTTGTTGGGAAAAAGTACCACTTATGCTTCACCTCTGGTGAAATAGGAAGAAATTTGTCTACTTTCCATATTGGTAAATTTTCTTTAAGATGATAGAAAAGAATTCAATAAAAAAAGGAAATCTTTTTTGAGTTTTGAAAGTAATGTGTCACAAGAATATGATATACCAATCATGTGGGAATAGGAAGTTATATACTTGGACAATTCTCTACATCCTAATGATGAAATTTAGAGTCTCAAATTCTAACGTTGACTTTGAATTGCCTCCAGATCTCTATCATAACCGGGTTATTCATATTACAAAACAACGCAGTGGTAAGTTCATCATTGCCCCCTCCTTTAAAAGCTAGATCTTGTAATTGTCATCTGCAGAAGCATTATATTATCCATGCAATATGCTGTGCTTGGTCTTGGTCTGATTTGAATAATTTACAACCGCAGGACCAGCGACAAAGGGGAGCTGCTAATGGACTTGCCATGACTGGAATGTCATTTTTTAAAGCTCTTGGGCCAGCAGGGGGTGGAGCACTGTGAGTTCACTTGTTTCCTAGTTACTTATCGATTTCTAATTCATTAGAACTAAATAAACTTTAAAACTCTAATCGTTTATTTTCCATTTCAGTCTCGGTAAAGAGTAAACATCAATTTAAGAGAAAACCTGTTTAAAGTGTTGATGCATACTAGAGCATGTCTGAGGATGCAGACAAAATTTTCATACTTCAGGGTTCCAAATTCTCCTGATCTAATATGGTTTTAGTAATCTTTAACTAGGAGAAGCATACTAATGTAATTTAGTGGTTAACCTGCAAATTTTCAGGTGAACCTTTTAAAGGCTGCAACCTTATGACCATCTCAATTGCTAATGGCCACAGGCCAATATTCGAAATCTTGTACTAAAAGAATAGCGCGCCCCTCATCCAACTAAATCATTGTAACCACCTGGATTTTATATCTATTATTGTAAACTCATGAAGATTGAAATCAGCAGTGTGCATGAACTTAATCATATGACTTTAAAGGTAAATATCCGTGAAGGTCTGCGTACACACTACCCTTCCCAGACCCCACTTGCGGGATTACACTGGGTTTGTTGTTGTTGTATTCATGAGTGCTTGCGATGGCCTGGCAGCCCTAGACAGAAAACATGGTGAACATTAATTTGTTATTTTGAACTTACAGCAAGTTTATTCTATCAGAATTATGAGATTAACGAAAAGGAAAAAGAAAAAGAAGGGATGTGTTAAGACTCGATATGTGGATCAATAGACAGAACTATTTTTTCTATACAATTAGACCACGAGCCTAATTTCCCTGCGAGGCATTTTTCCAGCCACAGTTGTTTTTAATGACCCACTGTACCTACAATTCTGCATTGAAGCAGAGTTCATAGCAGCAACAGGAACCATTTTAGGAGTAGAACAGACTGCATTGGCTCTCTGACATATTGATCCATTAATCAGACAACATAGGTCAAACATTGTCTTAGTATCAGTAAACACTTTCGATTCTGATCCTCAAACAAACAGTTATGACGTTTGAGAAAATGAGAGGGAAACTGGATCACTGTTTCCAAATTGAATGTTGGAATTGAGAACGCGATATAATGATTGATCTTCTTCTCCTAGACAGACTACCTTCTTTTTCTGTTAATGATAGCAGGGTTGGGGAATTAAGTGTGTTTCACATCTTTGCTTGAGAACTCGCAGGCTACCTGGCTTTGCTTTAGAAATAGAAACATGTATCTGCTTTCTTACAGCTAAAGTTGTCACCTTTTTTTTTTTTGTGTTGTGCAGCTTCTCTTGGGCTCAAAAAAGGCTTGATGCTTCCTTCCTTCCAGGTAATGATCAAACTCGTTTCCCAAATCATATTTCTACAATAGCTAGGAATTTCTAGTGCCTTGGTGTGTGGAATGGGTGGTGGGTTTTGCCAAGGAGCAACAAATTATTATTGCTGCGACATTTCGACCCTTCGCAGACAGTGGCAGAGGTAGGATTACCTCCAAGGGGGTTCAGGAAAAGGAAAAAGTTAAAAAGGTTATAGCTAGTGGGAATAGAACCAATGATCTTACAAAAGGTTTTGAACCCCTTCGACCACTAGCTATGCTTTTGGGCTATGTTAAGGGGATTCAAAACATAATATATAGAGGTAAAAACAGATTTTCCCTTACATATACAGTTTAATTTTTCGACGAAGGGGGTTCGGGTGAACACCCTTCCGCCTCCTAAATCCTCTGTTCGCAGATCAGCAATGGTGTGACGACACTGATTGATATATAAGCTATAAGCTTTCTGGAATGGAATCTGGAACAAATAAGTGTAAAAATTATGGAAACTAAGTTCAATTTTATTCAAAATATATTGGGAACCCGAGCAAGTAACATTTCATAATATACTGCCCGTAGTAATTTGTTCGGGAACCGCTCCGGACTAGACATCTGAAGCGTGGACAATATAAGATGGGAGCCTTGAGTGAATTGGGGATGGACATGCTCTGATACCATGATAAGAAAATGGACCTTGGGCCTCCAAAAGCTAGCTCATGAGGTAAGGATTGCCCAAGACTATATAAGGAGATCAAGTAACCCGTAGCTCATCGATGTGGGAACTCAACATGTACCCTCTATAATCCAATAATTATCACCTCTACATGCTTTGCTCTTTGTTCTCTCCTATCTTTATTTATGTTGTGTTCTACTCAAATGCAGGTAATCAGGTGGTTTTCTTTGTGCTGAATCTGATTGAAGCAATTGGCTTGTTGTTGACATTCAAACCATTCCTAGTCGTCCGACAAAATTCGTAGTGGAAAGTTTATGTATTTCAATTATGATTATTTTTTAGTATTCTATATTACGCGTCGCAACAAATAGAAATTGAACACCACAGCTAGCTGTGTGTAACTATGGACTTGAAACCCCCGTATTAAAGAAGTGGGTAAGCAAGAAGTTGCACTCTTACTGACTATCCATCAATTAATGCAACAAATATGGATTGGCCAGATGATTTGATCACCATGATGAATCAAATTAGTTGGGTTAAACGTTTTTTGCTCATTCTAAGTCCAATTTGAATGAAATTCATATATTTAGCAGCCTAGTTTCTAGACTATTATCTCTTTTTCTACGGGGTGAACTCTTTTGTATGTCACTGTTATATCTTAGGCAAAATACCTTAAAACCCTCATAAACTTGGCACACATTATTGATTGCGTCCTTGAACTATTTATGGTCTTAATCAATCCCTCCCTCCTATGTGGTATTTTTAAAAAAAAATAAATAAAATATATTTTTACCTTTTTAAATATATTACTTTCTTAGATAATTTTTGCGAATAAAATTTATAATAAAACTTTGGATAGAATTATATTATTTAGGCTAATTTTTTATTTGGCTAAAAATAAAAAAGTTTTAGTTATTCTTTTTTGCATTTGACTTGAAAATAAAAATTTATACAACTGAAATAAATAATTAAGGCATCTAAAAAGTTATAAAAAATATATAGTTTGAAATTTACTATTTTGACTATAATTTTTTATAATTAACTAAAAATATTCTTTTTAACAAATTTTACCTGAAAAGGTAAAAAATACATAGTTGAAATAAATAGTCATTGCATCAGAAGAAGAAATAAAAAGAGTGTACAACTGTAGGTTCATTATTTCGGCTATACCTGTTTTATTTGGTAAAAAATAATGGAGTTGGCAAATTTTTTTTTATTGGTCTGACTCTAAGATAAAAATACACTATTAATATAAAAAGACATTATGTATAAAGAAAAAAAAAAGGAAATCTACACAACTGCTACTCTATTATTTTTGCTAAAAGTTTTTTATTTGGCTAAGATGATGAGTTCCTACCAAACGTTTTACAAATTGGCAAAAAACAAAAAAAAAATATGCAATTGGAACAAGTAGACATTATATCTTAGAAGAAATTAAAAATAATAAAAGTCAGAGTAAAGTCCAGATAGTATGTTATGATGAAGCAAGAAGAAATACATAGTTGTAATAAATAATCATTACATATGATATATGACAATTAAAAGTTAAAAAATAATCTATTTGGAAGCTGATTTTTTAATTTTTCTTCACTCCCACGCGCTTAAAAGAGAGTGCACCCACACTCTATGCCACATCAGCATCCAAGGGGGCAGGGGGTAATAGCTCTCAAAAGGCCAAGCTGAGGGGGGTAATTAAGACCACAAATAATTCAAGATTGTAACTAATAATCCGTGCCAAGTTTAGGGGGTTTTAAGGTATTTTGCCTATATTTTATACTGGTTGGAGCAGTTGTATGTAAATTGCTATTGTTTGCTTTATTATATATTTATTATATTTATTCATTCAAAAGGCGACCATTGACACTCGTTTGGAGTTTTTGACTAAAATTATCCCTTATATATGGGAGTAGGTTCATTTTTGTCCTTTTAATATAACTCAGGGCATCTTTAATTCCTTGACTTTGTTAGGTTCATTTTTACCCTTCAAATATAACCCAGGACATCTTTAATTCCTAAACTTTACTAAAGTGGAGCACCTTTAGTATCACTAACATAATCAAATTAAAAAGAAGAAATACATAAATTGCCCATCAAACTTGTTCGGAAAAATCATTTACACACGCGCCACGTATCAAAAGCTACTTTATTTTTTTTCCACTTATTTAATTACTTTTTTTTTAACTCTTCTTTCCATGTCATCTTCATCACCACCTACACCACCATGGAACCACTCTAAACCACCTTGAAAAGCTGCAAAAACAAACCCAAAACCAGTATCCATGTCTTCATCTTTCAAAGTCATGTAAATTCGCCACCAAATGACCGCTATTTTTGCTCCTTTAAACCACTAAAAATCAGCTGGCAAAATAGCCCTGAACCAGTCCAAAACAGAGCTCGACC